TTTTTTTTTTTTTTTTTTTTTTTTTTTTTTTTTTTTTTTTTTTGGCATGCTTATTGTTGACATCTTCACATCTTCAAAACATCTCAACCTGGAAAAAATATTCAAATAACCTAACATTATGAGACAGCCCATTCCATCTTTGAAAACCGTCAACGATTCTGTAGGACATGTAAGGCAACCTCACCCACCAGTTAAGACCTCTCCGATCTAAACACAGTTGCATCCTCCATCCCGTTCCATGTAAGGAGTCCCCATTGGGTGCAGCCCAGTATGGCCTTTGTCCGAGGCTGCAGATAAAGGGGAGTATTCTTGTCCAGGGTTTGGGACCGTCAAGTCATGAGTCCCAGTAAAAGTCATAGAACAGGAATAAAAATCGGGAGGTGGGTCAAAAATGCCAACAAGGTATTTGGAAGGACCTTCAAACTCAAGCAGTCCAAAAGGAGACGTGGAAACTGCACTGTGGAGCGAGATCTCGAGCCAAGAGACGTGAAAGAGCGGGAGCCAGATGCGAGCAGTGAGCCTTGGACGGCAACGCCTGCGCCCTCCGCGGACAGAGTGGTCGGCTTCCGCCACCTTCCCGGCATGCCACGGGCGCGGTGCTGCCCTGGTGGTCCTGGAAGGGTGCGCTGCGGGTCCTTGACAGGTCCCTGGGACACATGGTCGTCCTTCTCAGTCTGGCAGGGGTTGAGGACAACAGGGCACAACGTTTGCCTCATGGCTTTTCAGTAGGAGCAGAGTCCAGGTGTCCTAGCCACGGAGGTGGGGGACATCATGGGTTCAGCTGTGACCCATTGGAAGAGGGTCTCATAGTCAATGAATGGTCTCCACATACAAGTTTTTCAGGTCATGGGAGGGAAATTTGCCAGGAGAACTCCATGGTGTTACTTAATGAGGATGTCCTCCTTAATTCTTTCCCTGATCTTCTCTTTTCTTTTCTGTACTGGGGATTGAACTCAGGACCTTTGCACTGAGCTACATCCTGAGCCCCCCTCTCTTTAAAATTTTTTATTTTGTGCAGGAATTCTTTAAGTTACTAAGTTTCTCAGATTGGGCTGGAACTTGGAACCCTCCTGCCTCAGCCTCCCGGAGATTGTAGGTACACACCACCACACCTGGTCCTTGATTCTTAGGGCCAGTTAGCATAAATCATCAGGGGGTATCTTGAAAATCTCTTGAGGCTGCTGCTGGAATGTCAGATGTTCCCGATACCCTTGGGTTTTACTGCTTAAAATGTAGCCACTGAACTTGGCTATTGGAGAAACCAGTTGAAGACTAAGTGTAGCACAAGATGAAAAGGAACTATACGAGATTGTGGGTAGTTTTTAAAGTTTACAGTAAGCCAGATGTGCTGGCGCATGCCTGTCATCCCAGCACTCCAGAGAGGCTGAGGCAGGAGGATCACCCTGAGTTTGAGGCCAACCTGGGCTACATAGGGAGTTCAAGGCCAGTCTGAAATGCACAGTGAGACCGTTTCAAAACTAAATCAATAAACAGAACAAACAAATCTGTCTTTAATACAATGTAGTAAAACAAGAGGCTGTGAGAATAAAACATGGGAAAGGACACTGTCCTCTTAGGGTCAAGCAGTCTTAAGGCAGAGCCGGAAGTAATCTGTAGGCTTCTAATAAAAAGTGGTTTTTTTGGGGGGTTCTTTGATACTTTTCTTTCTCCTCTAATGAAATGAATCCTTTCCTGCTTTTCCTGTCTACTACCTTTGTCCTGATGGTCTGCCTTTCTGCAGTAATTAATTGTGCTTTTGGGTCCCTGCCGTGGGGTTCGGCTCCGGGGCGAGCACTTGCCTAGCCTGTGAGAGGCCCCAGGTCCAGCTGCAGTGCTGCACAAGAAATAAACAAAATAGAATCGGTGGGAGTGGGATGGTTAGGAGGGAAGGAATGAGAGTCTCTGAGTGGAATTCGCCTGCGCAAATATGGGAGAAAGGGCTGGTGAGTGGTGAGTCACCATTTGGGGCGCCCCGGGCAAAATGCAAACTGATCTGCCTCTGCCTCCCCTTTCCCGCGTCCCCACCCCCTCTATCCCTCCTGGCCCTGACAGAGAGGCAAGAGGCTGTTCCCTGTCCCCAGGGAGGGCCTCAGCCCCTGCTGCCACCACGACTGTGTGGTGCAGGGGCCACCTCTGCCAGATTACTGCCTCCCTCTGCAGTGTCAGTGATGGCAGGCATCCTGGCAGCCCTTATGGGCCTGGAGGACCGGGGGGGGGGGGGATCCTGTGCCCAAGAGTGCATCCCATCATTATGCTCAGATTTCTTTTAAAAATTAAGATAGTGTTTTTAAAGAAAATTTTCATGGAAAACATTGAATTCATCTTATTAAAAAGTTGAAAGGTCTCTCAGCCCTGGGCCCTCAGGGTGACAGATAAGGTTGGCAGTGTCGCCTAGGGGCTTGGTCCCGAGTCCCTGCTGTCCTCTGGCTGGGTGGCAGCTGCCATGGGTGACCACGTTTCTGTCGCTTTTCTCACGTGTGTTTTCTGCAGCTACATCTTTATCATTAGCGAGGGGAAAGCTGGACCCCCAAAACTGCAGGAGACCCCGTTTCTCCACGGAAATGGAGTGGAGAACAGCATGTGTTATGTAAAGAACAGTACTATCTAAAGGACACTAATGAACTAGCTGCCACCAAAGATCAAATCAGGAACGAGGGTCAGATGAAGGCCTTGCCCAACTGAAAACGAGGACAGACGTGAGCTTGTTTTTACGCGGGAACCGAGTAAAGCTGCTGCACCACTGCAGGGATGAGCCAGGCGTGGTGGCGCACACCTGAAAACCCAGCGCTCTGGGAGGCCGAGGCAGGAGGATCAAACCCAGCCTGGGCAACTTAGTGAGAGCCTGTCTCAAGATAAAAAAAATTAGAGAAAGGGTGCGGATGTAGCTGGGTTCAATCCCCAACACCACCACAACCACAACACACATACAATGCAGTTATAAATCTGATGCCAGGCCATTGAAACGTTTCACAGGAGAGTTTATAAAACTCTGTTGGATGCACCCAAAGACGTCTTCCTTGCACAACGCTGAGAAACTACCTCAGTGCTCTAAACATAGCGCCGCAGAGAGTAGAAAAGTTTCCGGGGCGACCCTGAGGGAGGACCCCAAGAGGCTGCACTTTTGTTCGACTCAGATCCTAAGTAAGGTGAGAAACAGTAATGGCTGAATGTCACCTTCACAGGGGGGACAGGTGCCATGTGACTGCGTGTGGGGCCTGCACGCAGCTGCAGACGGGCCCAGCAGTCAGTCCCCTCTCAGCCCACGTCCGCAGACGGATCTTTGGAAGCTAAATCCGCAGGCAGATTTTGTTCATGAGGATGAAGGAAAGGAGGAAGCCCAAACGAGCATGTCCGGTTCATCCTCCCAAATTTTCAAATCAGATAAGTTGCTCCAAAACCACCAGTGACGTGGTGGTGGCACGTGACTGTCATCCCAGACTCGGGAGGCTGAGGCAGGAGGATCACTGTGAGTCTGAGACCAGTCTGGGCTACAGAGTGAGGCCTTGTCTCAAAAACCCAATGAAGACAAAGAAACAAACTCAAAACGCCCCCCGCGGTGTGTTCAGTTGCATGGAGGGCAGTGAGCGCAGCTCATGAACGGCGCTCATGAGAATTTTGCTGAGGCCCGAGAGCTCTCTGCACAGTGACCCACAGGGAAGGAAGGGTTTCACCTCGGGTGCTGGATGCTGTGTGCCCGCCCTGGCCACTGCAGGGTCCTGGGGAAAAGTGTGAGGTCGGGGTGGCTTTGGTCCCGTCTCTGGTGGCCAGATGTCCCGCGTTCAGGGACCTGTAACCCACAGCTACCTGAGTGGCATCCGTGGCCACCGAGGGACACGCACCAGCAGTGGAAGGCGAGCTCCCTGTGTGTCTCGGGAGTAACTGGCCTAAACATAAAGACACACAGAAGGAACCTCACCCGCTCAGGGGACGCCATGCTAAACCTGGAGCAAGACGGGGGAAACCGCACTGGCTGCGCAGGGAAAGGCGACCAGGTGCGTGGTTCTAAGGGAAAGAGAAAGAAACGGCACCGTCCGTGCAGCTCAGAAGGCCCCGGAGCCCCCAGAGGGGCGGTCCCCCCTGGCCTGGCCATGCACGGCCCTGGGACTCATGCTGGCACGGCGGGGTCTGCGTCACAGGGCACAGTTGCAGGGGAGCTGCACACAAGGTGCCTCGGGAGCAGGGACGGGCGGGGACACAGCGGCTGCTCTCACCGCTGGCCCAACCGTCGCTTCTTCCTTGGCTGCCTGCTGCGCTCTGCTGCAGCCCACCCGGCAGGAACACCTCTGTCTCCTCCCGCCACCACTCCTCCTGCTGCACCCCCACAGCGAACGCCTAGGAGCAGCTCCGGGTGCCCAGGTCAGGCCAGGGCTCTCCCAGCGCCATCTGTGGATCTCAGCGACAGCAGTCAGGACTGGGTTTAGGGCTGGGGTAGCCAGGGGCAGGCAGGACCTTGAAAGGGCTGGGCTCACGTCCGAGGGTTCTAGTCCTGCACCTCGGATGAGGAGGGGCGAACTGGGTGGATGCTGGGGAGATTCACCATGGAAAGGCAGGCAGCCACTGTGCTTCTGGGGTGACACACACGTGAGTCCACACACACACACACACACACACACACACACACGCTCGTGTTGGAAGGTTGCTGTGGGCTGTGTCCTGTGGGGTTTTTCAGTCACAATCGGAAGAGATTGGCTGTGGCTACTTTAACTACAAACAGTGTTTTTTTTTCAGTACTGGGGATGAAACCCAGGCCTTCCCACTGAGCTACTTCCCCTTTTTACTTTTTATTTCGATAGGGTCTCACTAAGTTGCTAAGTTTCCTGGGTTGGGGTCAAACTTGCAATCCTCCTGCCTCAGCCTCCTAGAGTATTGGGGTCATAGATGTGCACCACCACACCTGCTGAAACAGATTTCAGGGGAAGGGAAACTGAGCATTGGGCTTAGAGGGCAGAGCTGGGCTGCCCCCCACTCTCAGTAGCAGGCATTAGTGATGGCCAGGTGCAGGCGGGGTCACACGTTTGCTGTCCCCTTGCTCAAGAGTCTGACCCCAGAGGGTGTATCTGGGGGCTCAAGTTGTGATCCGATGGCCCCAGGCCCCCCACCAGAGGCTGCTGGCCTGAGACATGGCAGCAAAACCAGGACATCTGGGGGCATGGGATACTTTATTTTTAGTCTAGGCTCAGCCAGGTATGGTGGCACATGCCTGTAATCCCAATACTTGGGAGGATGAGGCAGGAAGATTGCTGTGAGTTTGAGGCCAGCTTTGGCGACTTAGTGAGTTCAAGGCCAGCCTGCAGTACCAGACCAGGCCCTATCTATTAAGGAAAAATAAATAAAGTCTGGCCTTATAGAGTCTTTCTGAAGCACTCACTTTTGTTTGCATGGACAGTAATTCTCTCTGTTCTCACACTTACACACGCTTAGCTTATGTAATATCCAAGTGAACCACAGGTCGAAACAGGTTTGGTGACAAACATAGCCAGGCCTTGGCACATCTTTCAGAGCAAGTGTGGCCAGCTGCCTGCGATGCAGAAAAAGCCTCACGGCCCACCTGGTCCGTAGGTTCGCGGGTGAGTGGGCAGGGCATCCCGAAGCTTCTGTGGGCCTACAGGACTTTTCACAATCAAAGAAAAGTGTGTGATTTGAACTCCTTATTTGTATATTACTCTCCCACACGTTCAAATACATTTTTGATGTTTGTTGAGAATATGCCAAAGAGAAGTTTCAGATTTTGTTGATGTGAGAAACTTAGACAAGAAAAAATAAGAACCATTTTTGATAATGGTAAATAGAAGAGGTCTTACAGATTTTGGGGGAGCATATTGCTGTATTTGCCCTGTATTAGAAGAAACTCTAGATATAAATGGAACTTGGGGTGATATTTAATAACTACAAGAACCCGTGGATGAATGTCTGTTATCCTGGGAGGCTGAGGCAGGGGGATCACAAGTTCAGGCTTAGCCTGGGCAATTTAGAGACTTAGCAAAATTCTGCCTCAAAATTTAAAAAAAAAAATTACAAAGGACTTGGGACTGCAGTGGATTGATAATTGGTGGTCAGCTTATAACCACCAGCTGAACTGAGTAAGCGTGGTGCTGGGTGTGGGAGCCCAGCTGGGGACTGTTGCCAGCAGCATAAGAGGCAGACCTGGAGAAGGAGAAGTTGGGCTGTTGGGAGCTGAGTGAGGCTGTTGGAGCTGGTGGAAGCTGTAAGGAGCTGTTGGTTATTTTGGAGGAGCTTCTCATGCTGATTTTCCTGATGAACTTGGCTGTTTTTATCCTCCAAGGAGCTCGGGACCTTGTTGACACTGAGAATGGTTACAGTTCACTTTGGAGAGCTCTGGTCCTCACTTTGAGCCTCGCTTCCTGGCTCTGGAGGGAAGAAGGTGCACTGCCGGTGTTCTGGAGAAGCTTGCTGTGTTGGCTTTCCTGATGGGAACTCGGCCATCTTGATTATCGGAGGAGCTCGGGACCTCACTGTTGCCGACGATGGCTGTGGTACCTTTCAGGGAGCTCTGGTTCTTCTGAGCGTCACTTCCTGGCTCCAGTGCAGATCCCTCAGCCTGCTAGCACAGATCCTTCATGCTGCTGGCACAGACTTCCTAGATTCCACCAATGACCTTTGGGCCTTCCCAGCGCAGATCCGTGAAACAGGGCTGCATGAGATGTTGTTGTGGGCTCTGGGCCTCCAGCTGGATTCATGGGAGGAATTGTTATGAGCTCTAGGTCCTCAGCTGGACTCATGCAGGACATTTCCATGGGATCCAGGCCCTCAGCTAGTTTCCTTGGTCTTAGTGTGTGGACAGACTTCCAGCACTCTCTTGTATATCATTCTTTAGATGACTATTATAAATAATTTTATAGAATATGTGTTCTGTATTATATTGTTCTCCCTTGCCAAATAAACCCCAAACTAACACAGGGATGTAGCTCAGTGTGAAGGCTTTGGGTTCAATTTGCAGAATCAGCTAACCCATCAATCAAATAAAATCCCCTTTAAGGGAACCAATCAAGATAAGTTGTTTTAAAGTTCCCTTATGGAAGTTACCAGTTTTTTAATCTCCTCATTTTTTTTTTTTACTAGAAAGTAACAGAATTCAATAATCATTACTGAAGGAAAGAGCCCAATAATTGCTCATAACTTAGCCACTAACTGGTGATACTTTTGCACATTATTTTCTGTCCATAGTTTGCTCTCAAAACACCATTCAGGAGACGCTATTGTCCCCATGGGGCGGGCGGGGTGGAGGGGAGCAGACAGGCAGGCTGCGGGGGTCCGCCTACCTCCTGACCCCGCCACGTCTGGCAGTGTCTCCAAGGACAAGCTGGCTGTGCCCAGCAAGGGAGACCTGGGCCCGAGGATCCATCCCCATGCCCCCCGTAGACGAGTGCCCCTCAGTACCCAGACGGCTCTCTGCAGATCACTAAGGACCACAGAACAGTACTAAGGTCTCTTAGGCTGAGGGTTTAGGTTTTAGTTTCTTCATTTTGTTTTGTTTTGATTTGGTTTTTTGAGACAGGGTCTTGCTCTGTAGCCCAGGCTGGGCTTGAACTCACTATGTAGCCCAGGCTGGCATCGCACTCACACGATCCTCCTGCCTCAGCCTTCCAAGTGCTAGGATTACAGGCATCACATCTAGTTTTTTATTTTTTATGCATCTCTATTTTTTTCTGGAAGGGGAGGCTTGGAACAGGATCTTGCTATGTAGTATAGGCTGGCTTGGAACTTGAGGCAATCGTCCTGCCTCAGCCTCCTGAGTGTTGGGATTACAGCCATGTGCCGCCACACCTGGCTTGCATGGGAATTTTTAAAGTCTCTGACAGTTGCTTCATTTTATCTTTCCTTCAGAAAGTTTATATTCATTGTTTTCATTCCCCGTGTAAGAATTTGGTGTACCCGTGGGAAATATTGACTCTGCCGTTAGAGACCCTGCTTTTAATGACCCGAATGCCTGCGTAGCTAAAATTTAACGTGAATTTCAAAACTGTTTACCTTTCTGTGGAAATACAAAGCAACTGGAAAGAGGCCAAGATCCCCTTCTCGATTCTTTCGCTGCCCTGACTTCAGGGGTTTTCGTTTTGTTCTGCTGCTCTGCTCGCTCTCTGAGACTCTTCTCACCTCAGGACGACGGCGTTCCGCGGGGTCACCGGCTGGCCCTGTGCTGGGCTGGATTTGGGAGAAACCGATGGCTGGAATCCAAACAGAACTGTGTTTACTTTTTCCACACTTGGGGAACCAGAGTAAACTCAGCCCGAAGAAGAGCCGAAGGGGGGAGGAAAAGCAAAAGGGCTTTTCTTTGTGCGCAAATGAAATTAGCGAGGAAGGCTTTATTTACTCTGGCCCTGGCCTCCTCATTAAAGGGGCAGGCAACGCGGGCTAATGACAGGTAATCACGCGAGGGCGGATGGCGCGCAGTTGTGGCCATTGATGTCTGCGGGCGTGGTGAGCTTGAGGAGTAGGTTCTCCAGCTGCCCGGTTCTGGCGGAAAGAGACTTACATGCGGGCTGGGTGAGCTGCTGTGGGAGGCCCCCCGTCAGTGCTTCTCCACTGCTCCAGGACTCGCTGCAGAGCCAGGGTGGTGGCCCAAACACTCAAGAGGCTGAGGCGGGAGAATCGCTGTGAGTTTGAGATCAGGCTGAGCTACATAGTGAGTTCAAGGCCAGCCAGAGCTACATAGCGAGACCCTGTCTGAAAAAGTCCAAACAAATATTGTAAATAAATAAGTAAACGGACTTCTTGCAGGCCCCAAACCTGAGAACACTCATGTCCCTGTGTAAAACGGCAGGGCGGCTGCTCAGAACCGCGCCTCCTCCTGTGTGCTCCCCGCTGCCTCTGGCTGACTCAGGCCCGTCCTAAGGTGCAGATGCGGCACACACAGCACAGCTGCTCTCCTGCGCCGTGCAGGGGCTCAGGTGAGAGGAAGTCCCATCGCTCGGCAGGTGCAGTTCCCTGATGTTCTCCAGGGGGCCGGGGTGGGGCGGGGGGACCAGGATGCTGAGGCTGAGGGTGGGGCCGGCTTGAGGGGTCCCCGGACCCCCTGCTGTGGCCGCTGAGACACCTCTCCTTCCTGTCCTGCCTGCTAGCTCCTATCTGGGACACTGAGGCTGCACCGCTTCCTGGGGGGTGGTCTGCCAGCCCAGTGGACACCTCGCTTCCGTACTGGGTTTAACAAGGCCAGGATGAAATCCCCTCTCTAGGAAAACATGAGCCCAGTCCAGCCCCACTGGCTGTGTGTGTGTATGTTTTGGTCTTGCTTTTTTTTTGGCTTTTTGAGACAGGGTCTTGCTATGCAGTTCAGGCTCGCCTTGAGCTCACTTTGTAGCCCAGGATGGTCTTGAACGCCATGATCCTTCTGCCTCAGCCTCTGGAGTACTGAGATTATAGGCGTGTGCCACCACACCCGGCTAGGTTTTGCTTTTTTGAGATAGGGTCTCACTATGTAGGTCAGGCTGGCCTTAAACTCATGTCAGTCCTCCTGACTCAGCCTCCTGAGTGCTGGGATTACAGGTCTGGGCCACCCAGCCCAACTTCTGGCAGATCACTGCTACTATTTATTGCTACTTTAAGTCAAAGAACGCCTTCTCTCTGCCATGTTATACTGGAGCACAAGCAATTGCTATTTAACCTTCTTGTAAAAATATAGTTTTAAAAATTTTGGCAAGTATTGCAAAATTTGTCACCTGAATTACTTTCAAGTGAGAAGTGCAAGGGTGTGAAATGCTTTCCTGACGTGCGAGGCTCTCTCCCTCCTCCACCAGCTCTCTGCGGTCTTCCCCGACCGGAATCGCTACCCCTGGACAGCTCCCTCTCCACGGCAGCAGGACTACTTTCCATGGCCACCAGTAGCGCCCTGTGGTTCCGGGTCATCCGTGGTCTGACACGCGTGCTTTCTGCCGTTTTGTTTTGTTTTATTGATGTATGTACCCACTGGGAAGTGAGCCTAAGGCCTTCACACTGACCTGCACCCCTGCCCTTTCTGTATTTTTACTTCGAGACGGGGTCTCACTCATTTGCCGAGTTCTCTTTCTTTGCAGGGGCCGAGCAATCGGTGCGGAAGCCAGCACTGTGGAGGTCTGCCTTGCATTTTCTTCAAAGAATTTCCCACTCTCAGCAGTAACGCTCAGGTCTCTAACCCCGCGGAGTTCATGTTTTGTACCCAGAGAGGTTAGGGCCCAGCTTCACTCTGGGAACACCCCCTCTTCCCAGCACTGCCTGTTGAAGGTGTGCTTCCCTGACTCAGCCTTCCCCGCACCCACCTGCTTTTGTTTCTGGCTGTCGGTCCTTCTCTGGCTTCCGGTGGTCTTCAGACTCAGACTCTGCCCCGCCCCGCCCACGACGCTAACATTAGAGCAAGTTTTGAAGTCAGGAACTGTGAATCCACCAGCTTTGTTGTTTTTCCAGGTTGTTCTGCCTCTTTGGCGTCCCTGAGGTTCCAACTGAATCTAGGAGCGGTTGCTATGGCTACACGTGGATGTCGGCACAGCCGCAGGCGCTCAGGCTTGCACAAGGTGAGGGGGTCCCCGGCTTCACGGAGTTGGGGCCTGGTGGGAAGGGGGCCCCTGGGGGCGGGGCCTGTCAGGGCTTCTTCCTCCTCCTGTTTCCTGTCTCCCATGAGGTGAGCTGCTCTTCTCGGCACAGCCCTCCACCTCCCCAGCCAGCGTGGATTGAAACATGGGCCCAAATAACCCTGTCCTCCTTTCAGTTGTGGTTGTTGGGTCTTTTGTTCTACTAACGAGAAAAGTGACCAAGACAAGGATTTTTTTTTTTGTTTTGTTCTTTTTTTGTCTTTCTTTGAGACAGGGTCTCTCTATGTAGCCCAGGCTGGCCTCAAACTTGTGGTGATCCTCCTGCCTCAGCCTCCGAAGTGCTGAGATTACAGTTGTTTGCCACCATGCCTGGCTTGAGTTTACCTATTTCTGCAACCATTTAACCACTTTTGTTTTTTAAAATCTCAAAACTTTACAGTGATTCAACTTAGCACTGAACTCTGCAGTACAGCCAGGATGAATCAGGCCAGAAGAAGTAAGAACTGGCCTCCTCTGGAGACCCGGGGTGCCGATGCCCCTGTGTGTGAGCGCCAGGCCTTCCTGGGTAGGAGCCATGCTGAAACGCTGCATGGAGCTAGATGGACTGCAGCTCACAGCAGTCACAGCCCCTTCTGTGGGGAGCAGGTATGCGGGCAAAGGTGTAGCCTGAGGCTCAGAGAATGAATCGAAGTGAACATCTGCTCTACACAGGGCCCACGGCCTCCTGTTCTGCTTAGTCCATAGGTGAAGTCTCAGAGTGACATCCCAGGCCTGGCCTCAGCATGCATCACCCAAGCTGTTCTCCAGGTCCCCGAGCGTCACTGCTGGAAGGGAGAGCTGGGGTTACTGTTACAAAGCCGCTGGGCGTTTCAGCTGCAATCTCTTACTGCCCAGCCTGTGACCTCGGGTGGCATGGAAGAGCCAGAGGATCATCAGGAAGGACCTGAGCTGGGCATGGTAGCACACACCTGTGATCCCACACTGTGGAGGCTGAGGCAGGAGGATCCCAAGTTCAAGGCCAGCCTGGGCTACATGGTGACACCCTGTCTCAGAAAAGCAATAAGTAAATAAACAATGGGGTGTTCCAAGCCGGCGCTGTCTCTGTGGATCTTCCCTGGGTCAGCCTGGCTCTGGCACAGGACAGGACGTCCACAGAATGAGATCAGTGCACACTGGGGACCTGGCCTGGGTTCTGCTGTCTGTGACAGTTCTGATCGCGGCTGTGGCCCCTCCCCCATTGCCCTCCCTTGTACCTTTCACAGCACCTGGAGGACAGGGAAGATGGAGCACAGCAACCCATGTTCTCTTCCCGGGCTGGACCGGACCCATCTGCTAGGCACAAGAGGGCCAGAGAGGGAGGCAGCGCCCCTCCAAGGAGCCTTTGTGCTCTGCAGCACTGAACTCGGGGTGGGCGGACTCCTGGGGATCCGCCTGCCTCAGCCTCCCAAGCACTGGCATGACAGGTTTGTGCCAAGACGTCTGGCCTGTTTTTACTTTGAAGTGCAAGAAGTGCCTCTGTTATTTCTTCCACTTGGAATTGTCTTCTTTGGGTCGCGCTGTGATCCTGCCCATCAGCGGTCCCCCACTGACTCCTGTGTCCCCGGCATCCGGCCGCTGCCGGCTCTGTGCTTTCCACTTCCCTCCCCCAGGACCGCAGGCCCTCGAGCCCCTGCCAGTCCCCACTTTCCTGCAGCTCTGTTTTTTTTGGTTTTTCTCCGGTACCAGGAACCGAACTCACGACCTTGCGCTTGCCAGGCAGGCGCTTTTGCCGCTGAGCTAAATCCCCAGCCCCCTGCAGCTCTGTTTGACACCAAAGCCTTTTTTAATCGACTCATTTCCATAGACTCTTTCAAGGTGCCTGGAAGACCGTTAGGCCCTGCGAGCCCAGCAGGGCTGCGCTTTATTGTCCCGCAGTGTGGAAGAGTAGCCAGGTGATTCCAGGGGCGTGCGTGCGGGCAGCAGGGCGGGTGTCGGGAGGCTGGGGGGTGGCTGGCCAGGTGGCCTTCATCCCCTCCCGATCCGTCCCCGGGCTCCTGTGGCCAGCGTGCTCCTCAAGTGCCGCCTGCACTTCCTGTATTGTGCTCGGCACCTGCAGGTTTCAGCTTGGGGACCACGGGAGCTCTGGGTCCTTAAATCTGTGTGGCACTCCGGGAGCGCCAGCCAGGAAGGGCCGCGTGTGACCGCGTTGCGGATATGACAGCTGTGCTGACTTTGCTGAGAGATGCCCAGACTCTGCCTATACAATAAAAACGGTCTCACAGTCCCCATAAACAAAGCATTGGCGTGAGCATACAGCAATAGCCCATAAAATACTGTCTAAGATAGTGGTTTGCAACTTCCGCTCTGCTTGTGATTCACACGGAAGTGATATTTTTATTTTATTATTATTATTATTATTTGGAAGTGATATTTTTAAAAAATGTGGCCACTCAGGCTTTACCCCAGAATCTGGTTTAGTGGCCCCAGGCACTTGTGGTGTATGTGTGTGTGTGTGTGTGTGCTTGTTTTTATTTTTTCGTTTTTCTTCCGGTACCGGGAATCAAACTCATGACCTTGCACTTGCCAGGCGGGCACTGTGCTGCTGCGCTAAATCCCCAGGCCCTGTGTGTGTGTGCTGTAATGCTGAGGACTGAGGGCCTTTGCACTTAGCCGCATCCTCTGCACATCCTTTCTTTTAATTTTAGAGACAAGTTCTCATTAAGTCACTAAATTGCCTCTGTGGTACTCAAACTTGTGATCCTCCTGTCTCAGCCTCCCAAGAGGGCTGGGCTTACAGGTATGCATGCCACGCCCTGTTTGAAGTGTTTTTGAAGTTCTCCAAGGTGATTCTAAAAGGCAGGCGGAGTTCAGCATTCTTGGGCTAGGCTGTCATTTAGGGAAAGTCCTAAAATAGTTTGAGAAGGACCTGCAGAATAGATGCCTTGTTTGGTGGGTCTCTAACCGCTGGCCCTGGGTCTGTTTGACCTTTACCTTACGTAAATAATTTTCCTGCCCTAACGAGCTGCAGCGCCAGGCGCCTGCTTCAGACCACAGTCTCCCTGTCTGTAGAACACTGGTGGGGCAGACCGAGTTCCCAAATCCCCTCCCAGTGTAACTTTCTACCTTGCTCTGCCTCCAGTTCCCTCATTACGCCAATTCCCAAAGATCACTGCATCTGCACGCCGGAAGTAGGTGTTAGAGAGTGAGGTAATAACAGTGACGACACAGCTGAGCTAGACCTCAAACCTGGGTCTCCTGATGCAAAAGTGAAGGAGCTCAGGTAAATCGCTACGAATCTAGGCAGATTATTTAACTTCTCTGCCTCTGTTTTCCCATCTTAAATTAGAGCTCACAATAGCACCCTCCTCATAGAGTGTTTCAGAAGACTGTGTTCATCCCTAGGCGATTATCTCCTGCTACCCGGCCATTGCAAAAGCTCGGTAAGCAGAATCGCTCATTATTATCCCCCCACGGCTCCTTTCTTTGACCCAAACTCAGATGAATACAACTGAAAATGCTCATTGCCTCTCAACTGTACTCTCTCATTGCTGAATAAAATACAAAGCAAGGGGCTCAACCTGGCGGGCCAAGGCAGGAAGACCGCACATTCTACACCAGCCTGGGCAACTTAGCCAGACCCTGTCTCAAAATGCAAAAAAATAAGAAAGAGCCCGTGGTCAGTCCCTAGTACCATGTTTAAAAGAAAACAACAGTCAGGGAGGAGAGCGAAGTCTACTGGTGTGAGGCCGGGAGGTCTGCTGCCGGAACCTGGGGGACATAACCCCCCAGCGTGGAGGGACAAGTGGGCTCTGCTCCTACACTTGATCTTCTCCAGCTTTCTTCCTCAAGCCCAGGTTACGCTCCCAGAGGAGTCACTTATTCAGCCGCTTACTCAGAAGTGTGCCATTTAGGTCCCTTCTCACCTCTGCCGCAGCCCTGGGTTGTCCTGGAGCAAGCAGGGGAAGCAGGTGGCTCTTGGACAGGCGACGCCTTTCCAAGCAAGCTGAAGCAGGACGCGGAGTTCTGAGGAAGGCGCGGTGGGCAGAAACGGTCTGGCTTATTCAGGGACTGACCAACCGCTTCCCAAGGGCTCTTCTGTGTTTACCTGTCGTGCTCCAGCTAGGAGGAGGTGCGCAAGCATTTGCTTTTCAAAGCCCCCAGTGAGGGCCAGGGTGCTTCACTTTCAATTATTTTGTTTGTTTGTTTGGTTGGATTTTTGAGACAGGGTCTGATTATGTAGCCCAGGCTGGCCTTGATCTCACAGTGACCCTCCTGCCTCAGCCTTCAGAGTGCTGAGATCACAGGTGCCTGCCACCCCAGCTCCCCTCCCCACCCTTCCCCTGGCAGGGACAGAACCGAGGGTCTCACACCTGCTGGGCCAGGCTCTACCACTGGCTCCCTCCACCCAGGCCACGTAGACAACTTGGTAACGGGCATCCAGCCTGTACCTGTGCCAGCTCCCCTGGACCCTGGGTGACAGCCGAGCAGCAGACATGCTGGGCACCTTCTGGGGTGGGGCCCGGGTCCTTCCATCCCTTCTGCTGGGCACCATGGCCGGGCTCTCAGCAGCCTGGCGTGGAGACCACAGTGCCAGCCTGACCTGGCCGCAGGCCCAAGTGTGGACCGTCCTCAGCTGTTTCCTGATGGGGTGGAGCCCGCGGTGCACCGGGGAGAGATAAGCGTGCACCAGCCTGGGACTGCGCACTGAGAGGCCTGAAGCAACCTGCTGGGGTGGAATTCCTCTTCCGGGCTCAGGGCCCAGGGCACTTGGGAGCTGTGACCTTCACTGCCCTGCCCCTGACAAGGATGAGCTTGTCCAGCATGGGCAGGGCCTGGCCGGAGTGGACAGCGGGAGGGCCCCGCCCAGGACAGCACCTTCGACAGTGCCTCTTCAGACAGACTCTGCAACACACACTGTCACACTCACACACGTGTGTGCGCACACGCAGTGTCTCCTGTCCCAACGAGGCCGCGCTCTCCTGGCCCAGGCACAGCTTGGTGACCCTGCCGTCCCTGTCCCTGGAGCCCAGCAGACCCCTGGAGCAGGGGGCACCGGGGTGGGCACAGTCCCTGTGTGGCCCCTCCCAGAGCCGCCGTGCCTTGCTCCCCTGGCATCTTCTGCCTCCAAGACAGCCTGGTGCAGGGCCGGGGCTTGGGGATGCAGGAGAGTGGGTTGCAGGCTGCTGGGGCCTCTCAAATCCTTGCTGTGAGTGGAGTCAGTGTGTCACGGGGCCGGAGGTGTCAGGCCCAGGGCCCAGGGCCGCTGTCGCTGTGAAGGTCCGCGGTTACCAGAGATTCTCCCCAGCACCCTGGAAAGCACAGCTGCATCCCCAACCGGGCTGCAGGCTCCTGTCTGAGCAATCAGCTCCGAGTCAGTATTGCACCAATGCTTTTTCTTCAAAAAGGCGCCCGTCTCCTACACAGATTAGCATCACAAGAAAGCCCCTTTGCTGATCCACAAACGCGCGGGGAGAGGAGGCCAAGAACCATGGCTGTCGCATGTGAGGAGTTCCAGAGTGAGTCTGCTGTGAGTGACACAGTGGCCTTTTCTGTGGCCTCTTCACCCCAGCTATCTGCTTCTGATTCCTGCAAGTGTTCATTTCATTTTATCTCTTTTGGTTTTTTGAGACACGATCTTGAACTCACTACATCACCCAGGCTGTCTTTGGACTCATGGTGACCCTCCTGCTTCAGCCTCCTGAGTGCTGGGTTGACGGGTGTGCTGTGTTAAGTGGTGCTGATTAAGCATACATTTTTTCCTTTCTTTTTCATTTTTCTTTGCAGTGCTGAGGCTCACATTCAGGGCCTTATTCCTGGGAATCTCTACCACGGAACTACACCTCTGGCCCTAAGCACCAATTGTGATTAGAAAAAAATGAGATCACACACCTGTTCCTTAGTTCTCCATGTGAGGAAAACTGCCAATGGTGAAACGCCTCTTATACATGCCGCTTTTGGGCCTCTATGTCCCAGGCACTGCTGGTCTTCCGTGCCCTTTGTCCTCCTCTCCCTTCCGCAAGGCTCACAAAGGACTCGAGGTCCAACAAGGCGCTCTGGGGCGGGGACCGCTCTGTGCTGGGCCCCGTAAGTGCCTGTGTCCCACAGCATCCGGCACGCAGCTGCTCGCTGAGTGACTGAGTGAGTGAATGCGTGAATGAAAGAGTGAGTGAGCTACAGTGCTTCTGGCCAGCAGCAGATGGCACTGACCATCTCCACCTCACGGAGAGGAGGGAAGCTTAGAAAAGAGAAGGGGCCTCTGGGGGAGCTGCTGCCGCTCTGGGGGCCCCGAAGCCCGCGCTGTGGACCCAGCAGTAGGCCCTGTGCTGCGCGCTCAGTCTGGCGCTCTGAGCCCTGGCCTCTCGGCCCTTTGCTCCTGCTCTGAGCAGACCCGTCCCTGTGCCCCTGGGGCTTCAGGTGCTTCTCGGCTCTGTCTGCTCTCGGCCGGGTGCCCCAGCCCAGATGTTCAGGGTGGACATGGCCCAGGCTGCGGGGGGCAGCGAGCAGCCACCCTGCTTGTCCCACTGCGGCAGTGCAGCCGCTGGAGCTCAGTGCCGGGATGCGTCAAGCCCTGCCCGACCTCCGTGGTCTCCTGCGGTGTTTTCTGCCACCACCGCCTGGAACTGGGCATGCAGTGGGCCCTGCTCCTGCCACTGCTTTGTGTCTCCACGTTCTTCCTGAACGGTGGCCTTTGGGGGTCTCTGCACCTGCGATCCCACATCTGCCCTCCCATGGCTTGCACGGTGTGTGTGCGCGCGTGCACCCGAGTTATTGGGGAATGAACCCAGGACCTCCACATTGAGCCACACCCCCAACCCTTCTTATTTTTAATTATTAGTTTGAAGCATGATCTCACCAAGTCACTCATTTTCCCAAGCTGGGGCTTGAGTTTGCAATCTCCCTGCCTCAGCCTCCTGAGTGCTGGAGTTACTGGTGTGTGCCATGGCGCCCGGCTTCTCCCATGGCATTGACATCATCTTCGCGCAGCGATTCTCGGTGTTCATGGGCATCTGGCTGCTGTGGTTCGAGCTGTGATCTCTTCTCTACCAGAGCAGAGGCGGGCCCAGCTCAGCCGCTTCCGAAGCAGGGCGCCCTCAGTTCCCACCACAGAAGACACATGCTGGGTGCTAGCGCAGGGTCCCCGCACGGCAGCCTCACTGGCTCTGCATCCCAAAGCCTGGTCCCCGAGGAGTGTGGCTGATGCAGGGTCTCCCTGGCTGGGGCGTCACAGTGGGGTACAGTGCCAGGCCCGTCCAGCACAGCCGCAGCCCCAGCGAGCCTCCTGGTCCCAGGTGTCTTCTCAGGGAAGCCAGCTCCAGTCCTCGGTCAGCCACCTCGTCTCAAAGCGGGATGGTGCCTGGGCTGATCGCTTGATGCCAAGCCAGACACCTCCTGAAGTTCCTGCTTAAGATAACGGCCTTATTCTGCTCATAAATCTGCAGTCTGTTTTCATCTGTTTGAAGCAGGGTCCGACTATATAGTTCAGACTGGCGTTGAACTCCTGGGGATCCTCCTGCCTCAGCCTCCCAGAGTGTGGGAGCCAAGCACCTCCACCAGCTAAGAGCATCCATGATCACTGCCTGTCAGAGCCTCATCCAAGGAGCTCAGCTGGGGCAGCCCCTCAGAGCCCACGGGGTTGGGACAAGTCACCCTCTTGCTGTCAGCTGCCCCCACCTACTGCATCTCCTCAAGGCCACCTCTGGAGGGCTGGCCCTCCCCCTCCCAGTGTTCTCGGGCCCTCTGGTCCCCATCTCCGTCCTCCCTTGGCTCCTGCCACCCACTCTACCTGGCTCCAGGATGAGCTTTTGAGTCCTAAGCGTGAGGAACTCACCCTGCTCTCTGTGACCAGGCCCGGCCTCCGTCTGTCTCTGGTTTTCCTGTGATCCTTCCTTCCCCTCCCCCAGAGCACACTCTTCCAATTTAGGTTCAAATTTGAATTCCTCCGGCAAGCTGTCCCTCCCCCGCCCCAGGCCTGTGCTCTCTGAGGAAGTCACGCGTGTGACCAACTTCTGCTGGTGCAGTGATCACAGTGCCTTGCTCGCCAGCGCAGCTCAAGGGCTTAGCCCAGAGTAGGACGCAGAGTGAACACTCAGGCTGTGAGGGACAATAGCGCAGAGGTCTTCATTGGCAAAGACTGCACCGTGAATGCATGCCCTCGGATCATGCAGCGCCCGCCCTAAACACACAGAGCAGCCCAGCAAATAGTCTCAATGTATGCTAAATAAGTAAAACGAATTGTGCAATCTTTGGTGCTGTTAATAATAAAATTAATGTTTTGCAGAAGGAAAAAAAAAATAACCTGATTTCAGTGGTCTCTCTTCAACTGGCAAAGAACGCAGTTGGGAAAAAACTGCTTAGCACCACGGTCCTGAAAGCTCAGCGCGCGTTAGACTCACCTGGGCGGCTCTGAGAGCTCGATGACGCCCACCGGGGCCCACGGTCACCGCGGCAGAGGCTCCGGGTGCGGGGCTGGGAGTGGTGTTTTTAAATCTCTCCCCAGATGTCTTTAATGCTCTGCCAAGGTTGAGAACCTCTGGCCCAGAGAGCATCCAGGCGGGTCCAAAGCGCTTAAGCAACCACCTGGCAATCATTAACCTTCTCAAACACCTGGCCTTGGAGCCTCGGGCTGAGCTCCGGGAGGGGACGCAGCCCTCCCTGGCCGGGCGGCTTCCTTCCTGGGTCTGGACCTCCGAGCAGGGAGCTGAGTGGCCGCGTTCATCAGGACACAGCATGCTGTCCACGTGGGCTGTGGGCCGTTTCCTTCCCACTCCTCCTCATGGGCAGCCAGTCTAATGTGTTTGATGTAGATGCAGTGTGCAAAGTGTTATCACAATGTAGGGTGAATGCTTACATTTAAACAGTTATTGCAATGAAGGACATATTACTATTAATACTCCTCAAAGTACTCCCCCTTTTAAGCCACACTTATTCCACCATTCTTGCCACTTTCTGAAGCAGTTCTGGAAGTCTTCTTTCCTGAGTGTCTTTATAAAGTGTAATTGCAAATGCTGCTGGCAGAGAGCCATCCAATGAAAAGCAGGCTTATAAACACAGGACACTGTGTCCTCACTCGCCTTGTTCCCCATACGTGGTGCTGTGTGACTTCTGGCTCTTTCCAAAGTCAAGATGACCATGAGAGGGAAATGTCTTGAATCAGTTCAGAACGTCGAGGCAGACATGTAGGAAAGAGGACTTCTAGAACTGCTTCAGAAAGTGGCAAGAACGATGGGATTAGTGTGCTCTAAGCAAAAGGGAAGATTCTGAGGGAGATTAATGACAGTGTGCTTTTTACTGTAGTAAATTTTTAACATTTAAACACTACCATATATTTGTATTTGTATCGATTCTTATAAAGACATGTTTCGCTGCTTTGGATGCTTGCAACTCACTTGCTTCATTGTGTTGTGGTCAAGACTGACTCTGACTGTTAATATTCCTCTCCATCCCTGATGCTGGGATGCCGGTCCTCAGGGCTGCCGGATTCCAGTCCACTTCCATTTCATTTTCCCACCCCACTCCACTCACACCCACCAGGTTGCTTCCAGCCCTCAGTACACTGCCGTGCAATAGCCACCCTTTCTTACGTGCCCGTGCCAGTCAGCTTTCCAGCTGAGGGATGGTGCGACACCAGGCATCGATGACCGAAAGGAGGAGAGATTGAACTTGGCTTGTGGCTTCAGGGTGCTCAATCCATGGTCGCTGGCTCTGGCGTAGAAACGTCATGAAGGAAGGCATGGGGGAGCAAAGATGCCTAGTTTACAGTGGCTGGAAGCAGAGCAAGGGACAGTGTCAGAGAGCAAGGGGTTTGGCACCAGTCGTGGACCCCAAGGCCAGGCCTCTATGACCACCCAAGCCCACGCAGAAATGTGTTCCACTAGTGCCCTTGGGTGGTTCCAAATCCAATCGAGTTGCCATGCAGCCTGACTGCCACAGTCCCCTTGTGGACCTCTCTGAGAACTGCCAGATTAAATGCCCGCTTTATGGTAGTTTCAGTCTTATGACTTACATTCATTTGCATAATTGATGTTTTTACACTAATATGTGCAAAATAAAATCCAACTGTTTTATGTATTGTATTGACTATAGTAATGGCTCCAAGCAATATGTATGCATGGCTGTAAGAAAACAATATAGCTCAGTGGGACAGTGCCTGCCTGGCAGGCCTGAGGTCGTGAGTTTGATTCCTGGTACCAAAAAAAAAAACAAAAAAAAACAAAAACAAAAAAAACCCAACTAGAAAACAGCTCAACATATTCCTAATGCCACAGAAAGGGCTGAGAATCTGGGGTCTCAGATTTATTTACCCTGATCTCTTCTCAGGTTGGATTTTACCAGAAGGGCAGTATCCAGCAGATATCTCTGTTTCTTCTCAAGTGAAATTTAGCTATTTCTCCCCCAAACCCCGGTCTGTGTTTTTGAGATGGGGTTTCACTATGTAGTTCAGGCTGGCCTTGAACTTACTTTGTAGCCCAGGTGGGCCCTGAAATCACAGTGACCCTCCTGCCTCAGCCTCCTGAGTGCTTGGATTACAGGTGTGTGCTACCGCACCAGGCAAAATTTACCTATTTCTTGAGTGGTTCCCAAACTCCTATGGATCTTGGCAGCCCTTCTTATAGGCTAAGTAGGGCTAAGGGCAAAACCTTAAAAAAAAAAATCAGATAGTAGGCAGTAAGCCTAACTTTTACTGACAAAACTAGGCAGAACCAGACGTTCCAATTAGGAAAGAATGAACTCCTGGCAAAGCTCTGTTCGTTAAGATCAGCATCCTAAGCCACATGGCACGAATGCTGAAAAGATTTCAACCTTTAACTGGCAAATAGCCTGAGCAGTGGTAGCCGCTGAGCCCATTGTGCGGTAACTGTGTTATATAATACCCTCACTCCTATGAGATTTCCAAACCACTATCTACATTTTAAAGCCATTGTTACTTGAGCAGAAATATTTAGGCTAATGCTGAGCCTTGGGATCTTTTTTTCATTTGTCTGGAAGCCTGTATAGCTTTCAAACTCTGGCTAATAGGACATAGCGGTTAAAACCACAGTACCCTTAATAGTTCTGTCACAGAGGACAAAAGAGTTATCTGCTCCGTACCTCAATTTCCGTATCTAAAAAACAGGGATAGAGTTAGGGGCTGCTTTGGACAGTGGTGGAGGATTTAAATGATTTGGCACTTTGCGTATAGTAAGTACTAGACAGTATAATCAACTGCGGAGATCTCAGCAATTGTAATGTGATGAGTCATCCATTCATGGCAGTCCGGTCAGAACTGGGACATCTCAGCTCCAAGTAAGATCTTGAGGGTCCTTTCCCTGTGGCCCTCAGGCCCTCCCTCTCTGATGAGTCCCACGGCATCTGACCTGCTTCTCATCCTCCAGGGCCGCTTTCCTCCTTGGCCCATGGATTTGGACGGTCTGCGTACTCACTGGATTGACGTGGGGGAAGCTTGGGCCCTGTGTTTCCCTGTCTCTGGCGGGAGGCCCCAGGCAAGTTCAGGGGCACATGGAACACAGGTAGAAGGTTCCTCCTTAAAGTCCCCTTGAAATTTTGCCTAAGATTGTATTTTCTTAATGTTTTCTGTCTACATATTAATGAAACATGAGCAGTATGGCTTTTCATTCCCTGTCTAAAAGAAACTGAGCTGCTATTTTTTCTCCAGCCAATTTTGAACAGTTTTATTCCGTGTTTTTACTTATTTCCTTCTCTCCAGAGTTCCTCCCGCAGCTGGTGTTGATTCGCTCAGGACACAGCTAGATCTTCAATCTCACTTTATATCCTCCCTGCTCCCCGCTTTTCCCACAGAGGAATTTCCCGTTAAAGTAATAAGCAGTACGAACTCAGTCGTGTGTGCACACGTGAGACTGTGTGTGTGTGGTTCTGCAGAAAGCCGCCTTTTCACACTGACTGTTCTGCTTCCTGTGTTCACATGCTATGGAGGGTTACTATCAGACGTGGTTGTGAAACATTATTGCCTTTTGCAGATAGGAAGTTGGATGTGTTTCAATTGCTTCACCTCGCCACTAATTGATTCATGTTGTCTTCTGACATTCAAGTTTAGACGCATTGCCTCACAAACAGAACCAGGACTGTGCTTTCACCTGGGGTGTGACCTCTGTGTGCATGCATGCACACGCGTGTGGCTGGGATCAAACCTGGGGTTGTGAGCACTCAAGTGCTCACCCCTAACATACCAGCTGATTCTTGGACTGTCGCTGTGCCCTCTGCCTGAGTGTGCCCCTTCCGACATGGGTTTGTTTGTGCTGACTCAGTGGTATTAGTTCTATGTTTCTGTAGACCAGTGATGGCAAACCTTTTAGACTTTTCAGTGATATGCACAGCCCTCTGCAGCATGCATGCCATAGGTTCACCACCACTCCCTGCTACAGACATTCAAGGGATTTCATAAAGACCACCATCACTGCTCACTCCCTTTTTAACTTCAGAATGTTTTATTTTTTTTCTCACTATTTTCCTTCTTGCCTTTTGTCAGAAAGGACTTACAATGGCTTCTTTAAGAAAGTGTTCCTTTGTCACCTCTGGCAGCCTTGGGGAAGCTTTCCATCTGGTCCATAGGGCTCACGCCCCAATGTGCTTTCTGCAGAACATGTAGGAGGCCCAGCGAGTGTTGGGAGCAGCTGGAGCTGAAAATTGGTCATGTGTGTGAGGGCAGGACAGAGCCAGAGTGCCTCAAGCAGTCAAGCTACCTCAGTCTCGAAACAAACATCCTGCCTGGACAATTTCAGTCATTAGTTGCTAGGCAACATTGCCTCTCATGATACTAACTTTGCAAGGGCATAAATTAATGCCCCCACTATTGTTGTTCAGTTCCCTAGCCTTCCAAAGTAAAGAGGCTACTCCACCTGACCCCAGCTTCTGTCTCTCATCTTTATTTTCCTCATACCTACCACCATTCCCTACAAGCTGGGGTGAGGAGGGGGAGGACAGTGAGGAATAAGGTTGGCCAGCCAGACCCCAGGTTGGCGTCTGAGTCACTGCCACCTGAGCTCCCATCTCACCTGGCCCGGTCAGCCACGTGGACGCCTCTCTCCTGGGCAGGGGGAGGGATCACAGCTGCCCTTGCCTGTGCCTCAGCTCCAACACGGATGTGTCACCCTGAAGGCCCTGGGAAGAGCTGGGTGAGAAGCAGGAAGCCTTTGATTTGCACTGTCTATGTCCTGTCCACGCTGATTCCAACACACCCAACTCAAGCCTCCCAGAGTGGTCACCAGCCATTCCGCAGGGCTGGTGGGCTTAAGAGGTCTGGGGTCCTGGGGTGCCAGCCTTCTCGTGCTCCCTTAAACATGGTCTGCCTTCCTAATCTACACGCTGTTGGTGGTGATATAAGAATTAAATGTCATAATGTGTAGAGTAAGCCCTAGAGTATACTAAGCCCTGGAGGAAGGCATGGTGTGCACCTATAATCCTAGTCCTCGGGAGGCTGAAACAGGAGGATCCCCATGTGTTCAAGGCCAGCCTGGGCTACAGAGTGAGTTCTACCACAGCTCAGACTACACAGTGAGTTCAAGGCCAATCTGTCTCAAAACAGCAAAACAAAACAGAAAAACACAGCGAACATCCTTATGGTGGGTTCTAACAAATGACACCAATGCCATTCCCTGGCTTTCTGTGTTTGGAGGGCTGCCCCCTTCAAACCCCCTTTTCTCCTAAAACTGTCTGTAACAGTCCCCTTCCCGGGGATAGGAAGCCCTGCAGACTCACTGTGGAGCGGGGATGTGTCTGCAGACAGGAGTGTCTGCACTGCTGATGAGGAAGGCGAGGGAGGGAATCGCACGCAGAGGGGACTCTGAAGCAGGGATGGGCTAGAAACGGGGTGAGGCTGGACAGGTCCACTTGGGAAGGCCACTGAGGCGCTTGGTGCTCTAAATGCAAGAGGAGAGTGGCTTTACGGGGACTTGAGGGGTGCAGCGGTGGGATTTGCAGCTCACTGGGTATAGCGTGTTGGCCGTGGAGTCAACAAAATATTTGTGGACTCTGCTCTAAGGAAGGACACATTCACTAGAGTCACCTGAAGGAAAATGATCACCCTGGGGCCAGTTCGCGAATTGAAAGCAATCAGACGCATAGATTCTCTTATAGGAGAAACCCAAAGCATGAGTAATGTAAAGAGCAAAGTAAAAGGCGCTGGACACAGGGAGGTAGACCCTGTGCAGACGGGAAAGGGGCCGAGAGAAGGGGCCGCAGGCAGGACTAGGACGCGACGTGCGTGCATACAACTTTCCATGCAGGGATGACTGTGTTCCTTAGGCACCGCAAGTGAGCTGATCGAAACAGGGCGGAGG